AGGCAGAAGAGGTTATACAAGACAAACAAAATATAGCCAGTAAAAATAATAACACAAAAGAAGAATAGAAACAAATTGGAGGGACAGTAGTGCAGATTGCTCAGGGAAATCCCAAAGCATTTTTGAATTCCTGGCCTGTAGCGAAAAAAAGAGGGAAGAGTTGTTATAATACATAACAAAGAGAAAACCAAGGGTACAGTAGAACATATATCCAAACCTCCAAGAAAAACTTAGAGATTTTTTCCTCCAAAAAACACACAAAGCTAGCAACCTGCATAATCACCCACACTGTCAAAGACCATCTTCCAAAACCTTATGGCCAAACCTTGCACAACCGATTGAGCCACTAAAGCCAATATCATCATCATCCCACTGCCATCAAAAAGATATCAAAACAATCTCACAGAAAACCATTCAAAAACCACCATCCGTATGGCCTAGCTAAAACACATGCCCAAGTTCCATCAATTCGTCCAAACTACACAAAATTCTTACATTCATCACCATGTCAACATTGTTGTCCGAGCTTGAATTTCCTTAATCCAAAACCTGAAAGGCAACCGTTTTGGCCTCAGCAACAACATCATTGGCCTTTTTCAAAGCATATTCCTCTAGCCCACTTCATTCAAAAATCATTATTCAGACCAACATACCAAGTGCAGTAATCCATTCAAAGAGAGAAAACAAAATCATCATACAGTAGCTCGTTCCAAGAAGAAGAAGAAAACAGAAGTGCAGTTCAGTTTCAACAAACAAAAGCATCATACAGTGGCAGCAACCAAGAAGAAGAAAATCATAAATACCGTTCACCGTTGGACTCGCTTCTCCTTCTCTTCGCCGCCCGGCCTCCGTCACCCCTAGCTCTTCCTCCGCCTCCACCTAGGTAACGCTTCTCTCTCTTTTTATTTCCTTCGAGCATACTCAATCAAACATCAACAATCAAGTATAGGGTTAATAATAAGGATCAACTTAACAGAAATCACAGAATCGAATCAACATGCAAGATGAATTAAATATAACAAATCAAACGCGTTCTTACCGTCTCCGCCTAAGCCGTCTCGTTTCGTGTTCAATGGAGGGAAGAAGAGCCAAGAGTGGGTGGCCGTGGCGAAGAGGAAACATCAAGTCTGGAGGCGAGGATGAAGAAGCAGGGCGAAGAAGATGAAGATCATGAAGAAGAGAGAGCGCCGTTTCTGCCCATAAGACAAACCCTAATCCCAATTTGTGTTAAACATTTTCTAACCCTAATGATGTATAATCTCTTGGGCCACCCTTTACTCCCAGCTTAAGCCCACGAAATTTGTACACCCCCCCTGTCTTCATTTCGCCTTGGGCCTTATCCCAACCTTCTAGCCCATTCTGACTTAGTTATACACCCCTATTAACTCATTTCTTTCTATTTTAATTATCTTCTTAAAATCTTATTAGTTTTAATTATAGTTTAGTTAACCAAAAATAATCTAAAGCTTTTTTTTAATAATAGGCCATTTATTAATTCAAACTTTCAAGATTTAATAATCTTAATATCTTTTAAAAATTAGATTTTTAGTTAGTAATATTGAGTTTTAATTTAAATCTAAAAAAATTCCTAAAGTAATACTCTTTTATAATAAAAGGCATAAGAATAGAAAGCTAAAAATATTTTGTTATCTTAATATTAATATCAAAAATATAAAAAACTTAATAACTTAAAACTAAAAAATGTCACGTCCTCATTAATAATTCTTTTGAATTCTCCTCATCAAAAAAATGCGTAAAAAAATTAAAATACTTTCTTCCCGTTAACATTAAACAAAAAATCATAAAAAACGCATTGTTCGTATTTTTTTATTCCATCATTTAGATTATTGCTATTTAATTGTTATTCGCATATTTCTTGTTCGTGTATTTTTGTTTATTCGGTTTGTTTAACTCCAAAGGAAAAAACAGTAAATTTGTTGACTTCATGTCTCCAAATCTAACTGCGCAAATTTTCGCATTTCATTAAAACTTAGGATAATTTTTCCTCAAACATTCACCTTACTTCAAAATTTCAACCTCCCCAAGACTTATACCTTTTAAGCAAAAAACTTCGACATTAGGTCGTCGTATTTTCAAAAACCCGTCCGTATCCCTTTTTTCGGCGAAAACGATTTATTTTCAATCAAGCGAACAAATTTTAATAAACAGATATTTCAAAAGGTTCCTATAGAGTACTATAGATACATTGGGTGCTAATACCTTCCCATTGTATAACCAACCCCCGAACCATAAGATCTCTTTTCAAAAATGCCTTGTACTTTCATTACTTTCAAAAGTATTGTTTACATTGCATATTTAGGGTTTTATTTCGCTCTTTTCCCTTTTCCTTTGGAAACAACAAAGCGCGGTGGCGACTCTTGCTTTTGTGAGACGAATTAATCAATAATTCGATCTCCGATTTACCCCGCTACATTTTTTATCGCTACAGAAGGGCAGCTGCAACCCAAGGTCTTTGAATGCAATTTCGTACATGGGGAAACTGTACTCGGGGAACACCGAGCAAATCCGAGCAGTGAAGGTCGGTCGCGTAACGACGAAATTCTTTTGCAAATCAGGCTGGCCGTGGCTCGCCTCAAGGACAGCGTATGGCCTTCGGCTACGCCGACTATAGACCGAGGGGATTCCTCTAGGCTCGACGCCCACCCAGTCCAACAGAGGGTCTTCTACGGTGTCGATCAAACTCACAGCCTCATCGGCACTTTGTTCCTCCCTTTCGGGGCGTCCAGAAGAGCACGACTCATCCGCCATGGTTACCTACAGAGCACGGGAAACCAGTCAATTGGGCACGAAACCATACGCTCGTAGTAACGGACAAGATGGAGTGCGTGACAAACCACGTCGCCCCACACACGACCACAAAGTTGGTTCGAAACAAAAATAGCAGTCGCCTCCCCGACTTCCAGATACCTCGTCGGGTCCTTCTGCAAGCCGCCTAAACAAACCGACAACGCGGTCACTCATGAATACGCCGACCCGGGGTATGAACATGGCGAGCAACATCATAAAGCCTAAAGCCAGAACCATGAGCATACCGGGCACGATCATGAATTAGGCGCCTTGGATCATGAAGACCCCGGGCAGCACTGCAGATTATAACCTAAACCATGCATCTACCGGCCACGAGCATGTGTTTGCCGATCCTAAGCATGAACTTGTCGAGCTAAACATGAATTTACCGGGCTAGTCCCACGCGCACAACCTCTAAAAACGTCTAAAACGATGAAACTCATGCATCAAAACAGAAAAACAGAGAAGATAAGTCACTTACTTGGAATCAAGGAGTGGACTCGGCAACGGAGGAAAGGAATCGGTGACGGAGATCGCGGCGATGCTATGAGAATCTGGAAGAACAGCAGCAGCAGAAGCGCGAAGAGTAGTAACGCGTTATGGGGCCCCAGGATCCTATTTATAGTGATGACGTGGAATGCCAAACGTCACCTCGGGCAACCACATAGTTTCTCTCCTCGACACACGGCTCCCTAGGCAATAATGACCCTATCCTCATAGGGTGGCGGCACAGTTCCCAAAAGATACCTCGTGTGCTCGACAGACGCGCGCCGTTGAGGAATCCCCGAGCATTCCCCGCGAGGAGCACCCCCACGAGGAGCCGCGTCTCTGACCCGGGCACGAGGCCCCGAAATGAAAGCAACCTAAGATCAAGCCATGGCTCCTAACCCAAGGAACCGCGACTTGGGGGGCTCCTGTTCTGGACTGGGCCCGACTGGCCCAATAGCATTGATAAGGCCCAATCTAAACAGACTTGCTGGGGGCCACGCTGACCAAAGGATCACAGTCGTGCCCGACGTGCTCTCTGGGGCTACTTGCTCGACCTCCTACTGTCCAGCTCGACCTCACCTCGAGCACCCCTCTTAGGGCAAACTCAGTCCACTGCACCCTCAACGGGACTCCGAGAAGACCGCGTCTCTGTCCGCCTGCACTTCACGCAGAACATCCAGGGAGGGGACCACATGCGGGTTCCCACTACGCACGTAGAACCTGGCAGTTCCTCCATTGGGCCAAACCTGCCCGGCCCAATGAAGGAACCTTGGCCCAGCGCTGGGGGCTATAAATACCCTCTGTTTCCAGAGGGTCAGGTATTCATCATTCTATCCATACTCTTACTATTGTCTGCTCGTGCTCTTACTCACTTCAGCATCGGAGTGTCTTGCAGGTACCCCCACCTCATTCAAAACTTTCAGCTCGGAGCCAGCCGTGACGGTCCAAGTCTGATCAGGTTAGATCAATAAATATATTACTAATATAAAAATTATATATATATATATATATATATATATATATATATATATATATATATATATATATATATATATATATATATATATATATATATATATATATATATATAATCGACAAAATAATACATATCATTAAAACAAAGATAACCGAAGACATGTGTCCCTTATGACTTAGTGCACCTCATAATAGTTAGCAATTTATTATGTTTTTTTGTAAAGGTAATGTAGAAAAAACCAAACTTAAATGATACACTTATTTTATTAAATTTCTAGAATAGATCAATATATAATTTAATCTTTACTTTCAATATTTTGAGACTATATTAATGAAGTCACACAGTTTAACGAGTGGATAGTCAATAAACTTACCATGAATAGTAAAAGAAGGATTTATGATAATTAATGGTTGTATTAGTTACATGAAGTTCGGAGACTGTTACAAAATGAAAACATTCCACGTCATACCTCCCATCCAATTATGTTCTGTTAATGAACGAATCCTCCGTCAGATCCACCACTCCAATCTCCTTCTTACCATTACCATTTCACTTTCTTACACCATCTCATTTTTTTCTCACATTGTTTTCTTTCGTATCATTTCTCAGGTAATTGTAATTTCAATCATAACATAACAATGTTAAGCAATACTATCACCATGCAAACGTATCACATTTTTTAAAACTTTTTTTTATATTTTTATTTATATTTATTTCTGTTACGTAGATGGATCGCCGGAGAATGTACGATAGGCAGCAAAGCTCAATGGGGACACCGTCATCGCCGTCTTCGCCGGTGATGATGTCGCCGATACATCGTCATGTTCGTACAGGCTCAACTGGCGGTGTTGCCATGTCGAAAAGAGCACAAAATACCTCCACAAAAGCTGCCGCTCAGAGACTCGCACATGTTATGTCGCATCAACCAATCGGCGAAGAGGAAGAAGAAGACGACGATATTGCTCTTGATTACACTTCAATCAGTGGCACCGGAGGCATTGGACTCGCCGGTAGAAGACCGGCTCGACCTCGTTCTCCCATGGTAATTAATTAACTAACTATCATTGTTTCTTTCTTTTCTTTCCTTCTACTCATTGTTTTTTGAATATTAGACAGTTAAGAGTACTCCAGATCAACCTCCACCACGGTCAAGATCGCCAATGGTAAATTTTTGCGTTTTAATTGTTATTGGATTACAATGTATTGTAAATAGTATGAAAAATTGAAATCTCTTATTTACGTGTGTTGTTTGCATTAGACAGTTCGTTCTACTCCGGAACAACCTCCATCCGCAAGATCAAGGTCTCCAATGGTATAATTTATTTTCGAGCCTTTAATAAATGAAAGTGTGTTTGATCCTGAACGTGACAAAGAGGTAGTTTCTATTTTGTTATCAGTCATTTCGCTCGTCTCAAGATCAACCTCCATCTGCAAGATCACGTTCTCCAGCACCACCGCCAGTTCGCTCCATTCAAGACCAACCCCAATCTCTACGAACCTCAAGCGTCCGATCGTCATTCTCCGGCGCCGACCAAACTCCGCCACGAATCTCCACACACAATGCCAACCAGGGGGACCAACAACCGCCGTCCGCTCGTTCAACGGGCAATCGAGCTCTCGATATGTCTCCTTCTGCACGGAGTTTAGCTTTTTCTAGGCCATCGCAATCGAGTAATGCGAGCAATGATCAACCGCCTTCTGCTCGAGCTAACTCCGGGCGGCCTAGTGGACTTTCTAAGGTGGTTCCGTTGGTTCCGGCGAGTGTGCCGATCACTCTCAGGCCGGCGGCATCAATTAATATTCATCCGTCGGAGTCTCTTCCAGATATTACTAAAAGAGATAGAAGGTATTATAAAGAAAATGTGTTTCTGTTTGGTTTGTGATTTTGTGCTTATTTGTAATGCTATGAATATCTGATGAACATGTAGATTGTCACTTGATTTGGGCAGTATGAAAGTAAGAGAAAATGTCAATCAGCTTCCGCGGCAAACTACTGAGCTTGAGGATGAGGTATGGTGAAAGTAATTAATAAAATCTTACAAGTTACTAGGTTTAAATATGATTTTAGTTGCCGGGACGGATAATATAGCAAACAGCCATGTATTTCCAATTCTTTCTAACTTCAATCCCCTTTTAATATTAGATCACTTGCATTTCTTAATCTTCAACTGCCTTATTCATATGTGACTGTTATCTCTTTTTAGGAATCTACTAATGAGATGTGAATTTTAATGCAGCTTGATATGCTACAAGAAGAAAGGGACAATTTACATGAAAAGGTGATATATAAATTTGTTATTGTTATAGACACGGTAGTTTTTGAGATTTTAGCTGTGGTGCTTATAATTGTAACATGACAATGTAGAAGAACGAATCTGGTATAAATTTGGGTTGAAACATTGTTGATTATATTGTTATTTTTTCTCCATTCTTACAAGTGATTATGTTTTGCATACACACTTTTTGGGCATGCCATATTGACATGTGTATCCTCCTTAGCTTCGACTTGCAGAGGAGAGATGCGAGGAAGCTGAATCGAGAGTTAGGCAACTAGAGCAACAGGTAATACATTTTAGAGAGTAGCTAATATTGCTACATCATATAATGAATTTGACATTTTATACATCCTCAAATATATTGAATTAAATTAAATACTTTCTTAATAAAAACAGTGCATCGAATTTATGAGTTCGACAAAACGGTATCATGCATTTCGTGATACATGAACACTAAGCACCAATTATCCCAACTTTCTCTGCATTTTGTTTCCAGGTTGCTAATCTTGGAGAAGGGGTAACTTTGGAGGCTCGCCTATTAAGCAGGCAAGTTTAGCACTTAGATTAATCCTTTGTACTTCCCTGTTAATACTTGTTTCCATTGATTAAACCTTATTTATGATATTATTGAAACTATTTCAATGAATATATTGAAACTTTGAATGAAATCCATCCACAATTTGATCGAAGTGTTTTCTTTTGTGAAGAAAATGATCAACTATGGTACAAGTATTAGCTAATATTAAGAAGATCAACCATAGTCAAGTTGAGCATGGGCATGAGTTTTGTGTTTTAGTATAATACTGGATAGCATTGTGAACTCTAACAGAACCACAAGTGATCCCATAAGTTCACTTTTCCTAAACATGTTTCTTTTTTCTAACATGTATTGTACTTTTTTATTTTTCAGAAAGGAAGCAGCACTGCAACAAAGAGAGGTTTGTGCACTTTTCCTTTCACTTGAATATATGTTAAGAAATCTAAATTACCTTTCCCAACCATTTGGAGGTAGAGTGGCTAACATCATTTTCCTTTTCAGGCTGCTCTGAAAAATGCTTCAAAACATGGAGGTTTTCATGGCAATACAACACTAGATGCTGAGGTATCCAGCATTTTACCTTGTACGTTCTATCGTTTTGTTTTAATTCTTCTGCCAATTTTGATGCAAAGAAATATTATGCTCATAAATAAAATTTAAATATAGAATTTTGTTATCAGACTGCTATGGAGGAAGCAACATCTGCATTGGAGAAGCTTCGACTTATGACTCAACGAATGATACTCACTCCGGAAGAAATGGTTGGATTTAACGTTACAATGTATTCATTTTAACATTCTTCATTAGTTATGCGATTTTCCTTTATGTCTCTTAGGAAGAGGTTGTTTTGAAGAGGTGTTGGCTAGCTCGGTATTGGAATTTATGCCTTCAACATGGTAAGGTCATTTGATTAGTTTTTAAAATATAATAACATGAATTCTATGATTTTCTTTGTTTAGTTAAAAAAACTGAATTATCTGCATATAATTTGCAGATCTTTATTTAATATTTTTGGTAAATCTCAAGTGAACTTATTTGATTTGCCTAGATGTTATTATGCTAGCAACACACTGTTGAACATACTTTTATTAACTCACTTTTCTCTTGATCAAAATTTCACGTAAAACCACATAAAGTTGTTATACTGATTTGAATTTTAACAAAAAGAAAAAAATGTGTAATGGAAATGAACAATAAATGAGGGTATTTTCATGGTCCATTTAATGTTAATGGCAATGAAATATATGGCAGGTATTCATGCCGAGATCGCTGAAACAAAATGCAAGTATTGGTCTACTTTTGCTGGTAATCCCGTTGATGTCGTATTGGCTGCAGGAGAGAAAGCTAAAGTGGAAACAGGTAATATTTATATGCTACATTGGAAATTTTTCTATATACTTGTTTTAGTTAATCGGTTCAGGTTTATATGGTTTTTGATTAATCGGTGTGTTAAATTTTTGTATTAAATTATTTATCAATTTATGAACAAGTATAACTTCGAGTGATATTAACTTTCCTCAATTTATGCACCATGCCACAGACCTCGATTTAGAGGATCCAGAAGACCAACGTGACCTGAATGAACTTTCTGGAGAGGGAAATATCGAGAACATGCTTTTTGTTGAGCAAGGTTTGCGGGAATTGGCTTCTCTAAAGGTATTTGTTCGAATGCAGAATACTCCCTCCGTCCCTTTTTAAATAGCTCCATTTAGCTCAAATTACATATCAAATGAAACAGGAGCTCAATGAAGCTATTTATATAGTAACAAAAAAAAGAGTGAAATAACCAACTCGATTACTCAGCAACTGAAGCAACAATCTCCTAATCATCCAGTTGTTAAGTAGCCGTCTCTGCTTCAGCTACACTCATGTCTAACTGAACGTCACCTCATATTGTGTTAAAATCACGCGTCTGTTATCCAGTGAAATTCATATTATTACACTGGTCACGTTGAATGATTTGACCTATCTTTCTTCCAATAGGGCCATGTAGCTTTATCCAATGATAAAGAGAAAGTTAAAAAAAAACCTAATTGAGTGTTGTATTTTCTTAAAATTTCTCATTATGGAAATAAAGAAAATAAAAGCCGTTTGCAGTATTTTATTTATTCAATGGCAATTGATACTTATCAAGGAGAACAAAGAGGGTTTCTTATGGGTGCATTCTCCATTGTAATTGTTTTGAAGGTAGAAGAAGCATTGGCAGTTGCATTGGCTCAACATAGGCGACCGAGTTTACTGAGAGCTGGTTTTTCAGGTGCAAAGTTCTATAATGCATATAAGTTAAATTTTTATCTATAAATATAGTTGTCATGTCATATATTGTGTAAGTTTGTGCCCAGATTTTTCAAATCGATATTGAGTTATACTTATGCAGTATCAACCACAAATTTAAATTATTTAGGCACACACAAATGGAAAAAGATAAAAAAATCAATTTTTTTGTTATTGAAATAAATAAATGGTGTGTATTTTTTTTGTTCGTGTGCCTAAGTGATTTGAATTTGTAGTTGTGACCTGGTGACCATACAAGAACTATCTATCGATACTTTGTGAGTTATGTTCTGTTAAATATTTCTATATGTATGGAGTCTGACTCTTGAATTTTGGACATAGATGACTTAAAGCTACCGATTGAAGGGCAGTGTGATGCGTTTCGTAAGTTTTCTATGTCACCCTTTGCATTTGCATTCAAATGACCTTGTGTATGGTCCTAACAACTATCATGTATGTAACTTGATTCACATTTACACTGCCGTGGGACCTGACCTAGCATTAAAAAAAGTGATATTAACATGTCATAACTCTTTCAAAAATAATACTTTACTTTCAGAATTGAGCAAGGAGGAGGCTGAAGATGTATGTTTTAAGCAGGTACGTGCTAGCAAGTAATGAAATTCATGGTGTTTCATTACAGTGCTCCTCAGTCACATCCTATTTTTAAATGTTTAGGCATGGCTTACTTATATTTGGAGAAGAGCAAAACGACACGAGATAGAACCTGAAATAGCAGATGAGCGTTTGCAGTATTGGATTAGTCATAACTCTAAGACCCCTTCCTCACAAGATGCAGTTGATGGTACCGTCAATTCCGTTCTCCCTATCCCTTGTAATAAATACATTGCAACTTGCAAGTCTCAAGAACTATTATTGAATAGGTTACACCATATTCTTTTTTTTTTGTTGAAAAATGAGACTAACTCAGTTATTGAAATCTTGGATTGCAGTAACTTGCATAATAAGTAAAAACTAAATCTGTAGGATTTGCAATTCTAACATATCAACTTTGCAGTTGAACGCGGACTTGCAGAGATAAGGAAGTTGGGAATTGAAGCACAGTTGTGGGATGAATCTCGCAGAGAATTGGAACAGGATATTGACAATGCCAAAGTGCCCAGTCGATCTGATTTTTGATGATAGACAGCTAAAGTAGTTTTTTTTTACTTTCAATTTCTTGTTGTCCAAATTGTCCCTCACATTGAGTTGGATGAATATGCAATACTTTCAGTGTATTATATTTTGTAGAAACAATGTTCTCTGTTGTTGTGATAATGTAAAAAGTATGTTAATAATGTACTCTAATCATATTCTATGGACTATGGCTTATAAGAAAATGGGTGAAACATGTTTTCAGTCTCTACAAATATAATACATTTTGGTTTTAAATTTTTGCACACATTTTAGTCACGACTGCTAGCTAGCTATTTTACGATCGGCGTCCATGGTTTCATACGCAATACAATCAATATTCCTGGAATACATGGCGTGAACTTGCAGGTTTGAGGTGGGATTATAAGATCTCTTGTGTTGGGCCAACCGTCTTGCAATAGGCCTTCTTGAGAGAATTTAATCGGCCTGCTATGAAAAACGATATCTTTCTTACAAAGTATAAACAATTTCTTAATGATCAAGAAATAACTAAGGATAGAAAAGATGGAAAAACAAAAAGAACACATGGATTGGTTATAACTATTTTTCTTTACTTTCTCTTTAAACAATATTACAAGTACATAAGAATAACAAATAACCCTCTCATCCTAAATTAAGATTTGCAGTCTGCAATGATGAGAGACTAGTATGCTATTTATAATAAACATAACATACCAAACTAATGGACTTTTTTTCACAAATATCCGTTACAAGTTAACTTAGGGTACAAGCTAATTTAAACAATTGGACATAACAAAAAGGCCCAATTCGAAATACTAACAACCATAGCATTTCGACACCCACATACTAAAACACACTTCGACTACATTATGTAGGTCTTTGACACCAGCATGTGAACATACTTGACGACATGCATAAATCCTGTTGAACCAGAAGCTACTCGTCGACCCAATAGAGTTCGATCCAATATCTCACAAATTTCTATCTTGGAACAAACTCTAATATCAAAGAACAAACTAGCTTTCTTCATGCAGCTTTATCAACTTCATGCAGTGGAAAAACTTGCAACTGGACAATGTCTTGGTGATCATATCAACAACATTGTGATATGTCAAAACCTCCAGCACTTGGACTTCTCCATGCTCGATTACCCCTCCTACGAAATGCATCCTCACATCGATGTACTTGGTTCGCTCATGATAGGCTGATTCTTCGACATTGTTGCTTGCTATGAGAATATCATCCACATAAAGCAACAAAATAACAAATGAACTACCATGTCAAAATTTGAAGTAAACACAGTGGTCGAACTGACTTTTAATGAAACTTATGTGTGCCATGAACTTGTCAAATCTTCTATTCCACTGTCAAGGAGATTGTTTTAGTCCATATAAGAATCTCTTCAGCTTGCACACATAATCTTCCTTTCCATTTTCGACATGCCTTTCATGTTGCCTCATCAGGATTGTTTCATCTAAATCACCATACAAGAATGCAGTATTCACATCCATTTCTTCTAGTTCAAGGTCAAAATGTGCCACCATGGCAAGCAACATTCGAATGGACATGTGCTTCACAACAGGAGAGAACATATCATTAAAGGCAACACCTTCTTTCTGAGTGAAACCCCTTGCGACCAACCTTGCCTTGTATCTTTTCTACGTCACTCCTTTGATTCCTTCGTTAACTTTGAAAATCCACTTACAGCTGACTAACCTGGATCCAGCAGGTTTCTTGATCAGTTCTCAAGTACTATTATCATGAAGATATTTCATCTCATCATATATGCCCTTTAGCCATTTAGTCTTATTTCGACTCCTCATAACTTCCTTTTGGTATCTAGGTTCTTCATATAGAACCCCACTTGTAGAAATTAAGGCATAAGGTATAAGATATGCATACCCAAGTCTCTCAGGTGGCTTGATGACTCTTTGCATCCTATCTCTTGCCAATAGGTAGTCATCGACAATTTCCTCAACTTCATCAACATCTTCTACTTCTTCTTCGACTTCATCTGAGATATGCAATTCAGCATTAATATGCTCCACCTCAACAAGAATTTCTCCTTGTTCCAGCTCTTTGTCAGATATTTCTGCAATTCGACCAACATCATCAGTTTTCTTGGAAGCCATTTCAGCTTCATTGAAAACTACATCTCGACTGGTGATACACCTATTGTGACCTGGCCCTAGGCACCATAGCCTATAAACTTTGACTCCTTCAGGGTATTCCATGAACATATATTTTAGAGCTCTAAGTTCGACTTTGTCTTGCCTAATATGAGAATAGGCTACCCAACCAAATACTCTCAGTTTGTCGAGATTTGGTGGATGTCTCGACCAAACTTCTTCAGGTGTCTTCATATCTAACACAGTTGAAGGACATCTGTTTATCAAATATGTTCCTGTCAAAACAACCTTAGTCTAAAATACCTTCTTTAACTCAACACTAGTCAACATGCATCTAACTCTCTCCAAAATAGTTCAATTAAACCTTTCATCCAAACCATTTTGTTGTGGAGTACCTGCAGTAGTTATGTGCCTTCCAATACTAGAGGCAGCACAAAAGTTGTTGAAAGCCTCATTGCAAAATTCAAGGCCATTGTCGGTTCTTAGTCTCTTGACCTTTCTACCAGTTTGATTTTTGATCAAATTCTTCCAACTTCTGAAATTCTCAAAAGTTTCATCCTTAGTCTTCTGGATGAATACCCATAACTTTCTGGAATAATCATCTACTATGGAAGGAAAATACCTTACTCTTGAATGTGATGGACACCTTGCAGGCTCCCAAAGATCAACATGGATGTGATCAATAGATCCATGTGTTCTTTGTTTGCCTTTGTTGAACTTCACTCTGCAAGACTTTCCAAGTACACAGGGTTCACAAAACTTCAGCTTTTCGACTTTGTCTCCTCCAAGCAAGGTTTGTTTCCCCAATTCGATCAGACTCCTTTCACTGACATGGTCCAATCTCATGTGCCAAATTTCTGTCTTCGACAAAGGTTTTATGGATGCAATATTTGTCGAAGCACTTACAACTTCAGCGTCAAGGGTATACAAGCCTTGCTTCTTCACGCCTCTCAATACTTCCTTCGACCCCTTCATGACTCGTAGGATACTTTTATCTCCTTGGAAAACATATCCATTCTTGTCGAATTCACCAAGAGAAATCAAATTTCTCTTAAAATCAGGTACATACGTTACTTCAGTCAACAACTTTATTGACTCATCATGGAGCTTGAATCTCACAGATCCAACGCCTACAATCTTGTAAGCTTTGTTGTTTCCCAACAATACAGATCCACCAATTTGATCACATAATTCTTCAAACAAGTCCTTTGTTTAGAGTCATGTGCCAAGTGTAACCTGATTCCATAATCCACTCCTTACTTGAGTTGCTTCTTGAAACCACAAGAACATCAGATGAGTCCAAAATCATCTTGAACAATGGTGCGTTACCATTATCCTTACCTCCATGATCTTTCAGGCGTTCAAGGCACACCTTTCTTGTGTGACCCTCCTTCTTGTAATGATAGCATCGAATACCAGATGCTTCGTCACTATAAGAATTTTGTTGACTTTTCCTTTCTTCTTGTCGAACTTTCCTCCTTCTGTAAGAATTTTCCCCTTAATGGTCAAACCTTCACCAACCGTCGAAGTTTTATGCTTCTTTCGTTTGTTCAAGTCCTTAGAATACAAGGCTAATTGAACTTCTTCAGAGGTCAGGGACTCTCTTCCATACAAGAGATTTTCTTGAAGTGAGCATGTGTTTTGGGTAAAGCGCACAACAACAATGATTGATCATCATCATTGATATTCAAATCAATATTTTCAAGATCAAGAATCAGCTTGTTGAACATATCCAACTCCTCAGTCAACACTTTGTCTTCAATCATCTTGAATGAATACAAAGCTTTCTTTAGGTAGAGTCGATTTACCCAGCGATTTGGTCATGTACAAACTTTCAAGTTTCACCCATAACCCTGTCGTCGTCGTCTCCTTTGATATCTGCCGAAGAACCTGATCACCAAGGCTCAACAAAATTGCGTTGTGGGCTTTCTCTATTTTGTACCCCCAAAATTTACCCTCCCTTTCCTTTAAAATTTCTCTTCTAGGGTTTTCAAGAGTTCAAGCTTTACAAACCTCCAAACATGTCAATTAATTCGTCAAGGGTTTGAGTTTGCAAAATGCTCAAAGTTCTCATGTCCACTAGTTTTGTACTAGGGTTTTGACTTTTGAGTGTGTGACACCTGTTGTGAATCAAGAGTCATGAAGCTTTATCTTATTTTCATCTTTCCTCAAGGGTTTCTCCCTCATGGAATTAGGGTTTCTATGGCTGGCAATGGCTCTCATTTTGACTCAAGTTTGGATCAACTAGTTCCTTATTAACTTTGGTTTATAGCGCTAAGTGGATCCGGTTTCTCATCTGAGGCAAACGAGTTTGATTAGTGTTCCATTCCAGGATTTCTCTATCCTTTAAATTTATCTTTATTCTTAAGGATATCCTTACAGATTGAGTTGGCGGATTAAGGTCTCGTCAAGTTTTCATCTGTTAAATTGGTGCTTCAAACATAAGAAGAGTTGGGTTGATGGATTCTGTTAAAGTTAAGGGTCATTGATCAGATATGGTTATGAGGAATATATTATTCTATGTGCTTTGGTTAGGATATTTTTTGGATATATGTTTTGGACATCAAAAACAATTCAAGGAACTGAAGACACGTATTTGTGTAGGATTCAAGCTCGTTAGTTCAAGAAGTAAACAATGCTAAGATTCATTACGTGAAGTTTATAGCATTCATTACATCATTTCAAATTCATTATCTCATGTTCACAATCCATTCAAAGTACTAAAGATACAATTCGAAATTCAAGGGTTCCAAGCCCGTATCATTTCTTTCATAATCCTTTTCAATTTTTATTTAAATCAAACAACTTCTACAATATGTATTACCATTCTTAAATCATTCATACATTCCTCAAAAGTTTTTTTTCAAATACATTTCACCAAATATTACAAGTTCA